CATTTCTATACCTAATGCATGACTGTGGTCCACTTCACGTAATCATCGCTTCTAGCGACAGCAGATGTCTCAGTATAGTAAGGCTCCGTGCCAATAATACGGCTGTTATCAGCAGTATAGCAGTTTTTTTAAGTAAAAACTAACTTCCTCTAAGCTCTCCTTTTTTCCAGGCACTATACTTGTACTTCTCAAACACACTTCTCTTTTTTAAACATTCGGTCTTTATGGGGGGAAAACTACAAAAATTAATATGTGCCCACGTTAAATTTACAAACATATGTGTTTGGGTTTGATAAATCTCACTGTTCTTTTCTTTCCAGAACACTAACCTTAGCAGAACCTGAAGCTTGTGAACGAAATTGCGGTTTGGTAAAGGAAGATCCTCCAATTTTGATGAAAAGTCGGCCGCACGCTCACAGCCATGGCGTGCGCAGCATCACATTTGTGCTTGCAATATCGTTCCACGCTGTCATTGAAGGTCTCGCTTTTGGTGTCCAGGTTTGTAAATCATCGCTTAATTAAGAAATTGGATGTTCGAAGGGGTAAGACATTTGCGTGAAGCGTGTTGGAGTGGACTACATCTGTGTGATCGGGGCATGAGCGGGGTATACGAAAAGCTGAGGTGAAATGGAGGGAAAGGTGCATGTAAAATAATGCGAATTGCATACAGAAGGGGGCATGAAGTTGTATTCGTAGAATGAAGATGAATATCTTTGTCTGCCACATCTGCTCCACGCATATTAAGTTTGTTTGCAGGGCGATAGCACGCAAATTCTGACGCTGTTCATCTCGTTAATGGTTCACAAAGTGATTGTTGCATTCTCGATTGGCCTGCAACTGGGTCGTACTCACGCACACTCACTGGGATGGGTATGCCTCAGTATGGGTCTCTTCTCGATCATGACACCTTTAGGCGGCATTATTGGTACATTCGTTCAAAGCGCTCAAATAGACACACAAGTCAAGGCTTTCACCATTCTCGTCTTTCAAGGACTTGCTGTTGGCACGTTTATTTATGTCACTTTTTTTGAGGTAAACTTCTTGCACTTCACTTTTTTTACTCCTTAAATTGTTACAAGCAGTATTTTAAAAACTGGTGCGCCCATCGTGCCGAGTAGTTAAGTCTAAAATATAAAAATCCTCTTCGTGTTCACTCTCTGTGAGAGGCGTAAGCTCCCGGAGAGTGGCGACAAGCGTCAACAGTTGCAGTCTGTACTCTTCTTGAGAGTCTTCTACAAACACGATTTGTTGATCCTTAGAAACGTGCTGGCATCAATTTACTATCGAAACGAAGGGAAAAATCGTAGAAACATTCGTTGTAAAGCTGAATACCTCACTGTTGAAGTCAAACCCTCTATTTTTAGTGCGAGGGCAGGACAGTCTACCAATGCTTCATTATGAAAAATGAACATTTTACGATTTAGCAAAGCAGAAGCATTTGACTTGCCTGGTGTCTGAGCGCAGCATAATTGAGCTCTGCCAGTGAAACACTATGCAGTGAG